ATCCAAGTGATTGAAATTGATAGAGGAGTTGTCCTCGTTGTCAGAGTCTTCTGATTTGCGCTTGGCAACATGGTTGCGAAGTTTGCAAGTGGTTGTACGAGTATCGTCGATCTCGTTTTCTTCGTCATTGTCGACGAGAAGAAGAATGGGTTTGTCACGCAACTGTTTTTCGAAGTTGCGGAACGCATGCTTTCCTTGAGCCATCTTCATGGTGAAGGAATAGCTTGAGGGTAGCTGAAAGCTATTGTGTTTGTTAACAAAATGCACTACGCTAAAAGCTAGTGTAAAGATCTTTCGAGTGTTTTGAGTTTGAGAGAATGAAAGTTATGAGAGAGATTAGAAAGCTATGAAAACTAATCAACGAGAGAGATCATCATCAAGGGATCGTAGATCTGGCTTCCCGCGGGAGACTGTAAAGTGTGATAGAGTAGGTTGTGGTAGTAATCCTACGTCTTTCCACGATCCTAAAACGGAACGCGTGGAAGGTTTGTCTAGCCTGGATCTAGTAGCGTGGAAGTACTCCACGCTAGCTAAATATCTAGAGCGATGTTTCATCATCAACCTAGTATGACTAGCGCGGTCATTGAGAACCCTGTCTCAAATGACTATTCACGAGAGACTCAGTCATGAGTCGAACTCAAACCCTATCTAGGATCGAGTCGCGAATAAGGCTAAGAGCCGTGTATTGCATTTGTGTCATCCATCCAGCGTTCCTTATGAGAGGATTCCAATTGTCTCCCTCAAAGGCATAGTAGAATGCAGCCAGAGCAAAAAGCTGCGTCTTTCTCCATTCAGGCAAGTTTGTGATGTTTTGGTGATTCACTAGCCATTGCCATGCTCTCCACTGCGGAGTCTCACTGCCATTGTAGATGCTGGCCAAAGTGTAGCCAGGGAGAGTACCGAATAGCATGTCTAGAACCCTAGTGGGGGCAGATGATGGTACTTCAGAAGGAGTCATAGAGCCATAAACGGTCGGAGCATATGTTGATGGCAAGAACAATTCTTCTGGCTCCTTTTGGGTTCCTGCCACAGCTCCCACAATGACTGCTGCCACAATTAACAACATGACAAAGAAGAGAATGAACATCAGCCTCTGTTTCTTCCTCTTTTGTTCTCTCTGCTGGACATGCTGGAGATTGACTGGATCCGCAGAGGGCCTAGTTTGTTCCTCCTCTGGATCTTCTAGAACGAGATTTGCCACTGCCAAGTGTGAGTCATTTGTTGATGGAATGTTGCTGTTCGTGGCGTTGGCGGTGCTTTGTTGTCCTGCATCGTGTGGTTCAGCCAGTGCAGAGGCATCGTCAGGATCCCCTATCTGACCTATCAGTGAATCCTGATGAGCAGTACTTGCACCAACAAGGGAATATCGTAGGGTAGTTGCACGTTGTAAGGCTTCTCCTGGTAAACCCAAGTAGGCCCCTGGTCTCAACGGCTGATGTTGTTGCCTCTGTAGTGGGGTAGGTTCTGGTAATGCAGCTGGTAGTACTCCTCCAAGTTCTGCACTTTGCTGATTAAGTCCTACACCATTGGCAGCCTCGTTGATTTCGGCTGCCATTTGCATGAGCTCCATATTATAACTAGTAGTGTCTCTTTGTTCTTCTTGCAGCATTATTTGTGCTGTTGCAAATCCCTTGGCACGCACTCCCGCAGCAACTGTGTTTCGCTTTTGGAAAAACGACAGATGGTGGCTTTGTGGAGTGTGCCTGACCCGAGCTACGCTTCCAGTACATGTAGAAGGTGTCGCCATGGCAGAATCGGTAGTACTGTTGGTAGTGCCATTATTATTGTCACCGAAGTTACTTTCTGCATTCTCTTTGGAACTACCTGTACCGGTACGTTCCCGGGCATGAATTGCGGCAATTTTTTCCAGTTTGGCAGCCTCGTTGATTTCCACTGCCAACTGCATGAGGTGGTTGCTGCTAGTCGTGTCTGGTGTTTCTTGATTATGGAGATCTTCTTTCGCATTGAGATGTTCCGTGACTGCCAAACCAGCCTGATCTGCCACAATACTGATGATTTCTTCTTCTTTCACTTCTTCATCTGCCACTCCATTGGTTTCTCCGGTGGCTTGCTGCTGTTCTTGCTGGTTGGCTGTCAATTGGGTTTTACCACTTCTACCATTGGTGAAAGCCTTGGACGAACTTCCAGGGATCTTCTTGGCTGGCCGTTTCTTGACAGATTCTTCTTCATCTTCCTGAGTTCTTATAACAGAGGTATTATGGTCTCGTTGGCATTGTAAGGCTTCTGGTACCGCTCCTTCTTCAATAAGGACGTCCCTTTCTGCTGGGTGGAGCTGATCAGGTCCTTTTCTGCTAGAGTTCTCGGCATCGCTATTACTCTTGCGACAGTCACCCCCGGAATCTTCGTTCCCATTCAAACCGTTGTTGTCTTCTTCTGCCATCCCTGCTGTTGTGCAATTGCCATGAAGTGCCAAGGCGGAGTAGAGTAAGTGTCTTTCGAGATCTCGAGAAGCCAACATTAATAGACGCTGCATGCTTTGCCTGCTTTATGCAGAGTCAGCGGAAAAAAGTGCATTTTCTCAGTGCATCCACACCCAGTGAGTTGAAGTTGAGTTGAAGGTGTTAAATCCTTCAAATTCTTCAGTACCGTCCCGGTATTATGGATATGACCGTGCCAGTAATGTTAATTATTGGATCGTGCCAGTTCTCTGCCAGTTACCTTTTTCCCGTGGCTGCCCCAGGATAGCTTGGCACGTTCTTCATTTTTTGTTGAAAAATCAGCAGCCATCATCATGCAAACCAGACCAACATGGTGATGATGATGCTACTTGCATGGCCACTTCCATCCCCAGGAAAGATCAGATACTGTTGGTATAACCCTCTAAGAACACACGACAGTCACCGGTGGCTTCTCCTGCCTTGCTAGTTTTCCATTATCTTTAGTAGCAGCTAAAGAAGTCAAAATCCATCAACATTTAGAGCTCTCCTTCCAGGAGCCACGATGACACCCATGTATTACCCATTCTAAACCCACCAAACTCTGCTCCCTTGTCTATGGCATCACCAGGGGTCAACACACCAAGACATGGGGCGAAAGGGGCTCATAAAAAGTCAAACTTGATTCCCAGAATCACTGTTTGATATCCAACAATATACCAGGATTTTGGAATATATTCTGAAGTTCTCTGCCCCAATTCAAGTATCTACCTTTTCTCTTTTCAGTTGCAACCATGAAGATGAACATTGGAAATCTTAGCCATGAGGCTGACTCTGATGGTGATGATTTTGCTGCCATTTTTGTTGACTATTTCTCCCCTCTTGCCAATGAAAAAAATCCAAGTGAATCTGTTTCTCCTGAAGGAACTCCCAGAGATGCTGCTGTCTTTGGCCAAAGCACTGAAGCGGTTGATGAATCTCCTAATCCATCAATCAATCCAACTATTGATATTCCCAACAACCTTGCTGGTCTTTACCAAGCTTTGTTTCAGCAACTTTTGGAATTCATGTCTCTTGGTACTCTTATGGCTTTGAACCCCGGTTTGATGCCTGCCAGAATGATACCCATTCCAAGTACTTTATTCAACAACACCCCCAATCCTCCCAACAAGACGATGCATAAGCAGTCCCCTTTCTATACAAGTGCCCATCCAACCACAACCCGCCCCCCTTCTAGTAGCCCGGAAGCTTATGCTTCAGAGCAGCCATCATCAGCTAATGCTTCTCCTACAAAAGGGTTGACTAGTACACCAACAAACATTGATATGCAGTGGCCTCAGGGAGACGTTTGCTACTCAGTTGGAACTGATGATTTTCAGCTTGGTTGGGCATTCCAGACAATCAATGCCTACACTATCATGGATGGAGGACGTCGGGTTATCCGAAAGTGCATGGGTTTGGCTAAGTGCAAGTCTTGCTCTTTTGTTGCTAGGCCAATTAATCCCGAGACCAAGAAAGCAGATGAGTTGCCAAAGCTTCCAAAGTATACCTGTCCCAAGCACCCCAAAGAGTTGTTACAGTGGATTCCCTGCACTGGAGGTTCAGGCAAGCATACCGGCCAGCCATGCAGGGTACATGCCACACATTACCCCAAATCAGGTGTGGTAGTTGTTCAGCATTTCGGAACACATCAACATCTGAAACCAGTTACTAAGAAACCCACTCCGGCAGCTATGAAGAAGTTGACTGAAATTGTCACAATGCACCCAACTATTGGAGCTTCCAAATTGAAGTATGGTCATGTAGGTACTAACCTGGAACCAATCACCAAACTTGATCCAACATTCAACAACACTGATTTCGTCAACTACCTGCGGAAAAAGATTGTGAAACAAACTGGTGCCGATGGTATTCAGTCAAGCTGGCCAGCTCTTTTGCAGTTCCAGAAAGATTCTTGTCGTGGGGGATCATTTATCATCCACACTGATCTCCGACCAGAGTGTGCAATTATCATTATGCAAAATGATTATATGCGACAAGTCTTGCATGAATCTCCAACAGCTTGTCAAACTGATACCATTGAAGGTGAAATCATTGACCCAGAGTTTAAAGGAACCATCAATCTACACATGACCAGCAAGTTTGATATCATTGCTGGCTGTAATGTCATCTAAGAAGCGCATAATGGGGTAGCGCGAAAACAGCGAGGTCGGTTACAAAATTGCCAGGTCAGTCGATGGTAAGGTTACCAATCGGTAACTGACCTCGCGCTTATGTATGGTGGGTACAAGAACACCGAGGAATGATCCTTCCCATTTTGTGAGGTCAGCTGTGCAATATTCAAGAACCTCTTATCCTACTAATTGAAGACGATCGACTC